TGCTAGCATGTTACTTGCTGTGTCATCCATGGGGAGATCCTTCCCCTGGCCAGGGCAGCCATGAACAGCAAGAGCTCTCTTAGCACACACAGGCAAAAACACATCTGCATCACCCAGAGCCCCACATCTCACCACAGAGGTTTTGAGTAACAGAAGGCAGAAGTAAACATCTCACTAAAAATAAACAGACCTTAGCATAAAGTTCTGAGAACAAAGTGCCTTATCGAAGTGCAGAGACACCAGCACAATGCTAGGCTGCATATGCAAGGGAGGAAGGAAGGGCTGATGGCACCACAGCCATGATGCATTGCTATTCATGGCAAAAATAGTCTCTAGCTGAAATGCAGCACATTATAAACCACCAATGAACACTAGTTGGTTGGAGCACTTGGCTGCTTAAATATTCTAACTCTGCTGGAGGAGATAGATCCTGGCAGCTCAGGACCAGGACTCAGCACCTGGAAAAATTCATATAGATCAATGACACTTTCCTACACTTCTAATTTTCAGGCTTCTAAAGGGACCTGAAAACTCAGATGCTTAGTACTGTGCCAGTAACTGCATCAGGCATCATATAATTCCCACATTTATTGAGGTTCCAGGTTCTAAGAGGACAGCAAGATGTCCCAGAGCAAGTTACATGTTCACCACACTGCCATACCACTGCCTTCCAGCTCGATTCTGCCCATCCTCCAACCCAGCAGCTTTGTATATTTGGAGCAGTTATCCACCCCCAGCAGCCAGGACAGCAAGAGTGACTATGCATGAGCTATACTTAGGGGCAGGAGCAACATGCTCCACCAACAGTGTCCAACCTGATGCTTGCAGTGTCTTGGCCTGTGCTGGAGCTCCTCTTCACCAGGCTCCCACACGGTGCTTCCTACACAGCGCTTCCTACACAGCATTCATTGGTAAAAGACACAGTCAGAAGCAGTGGGAGCAGTATGGTAACACAGGTGTACTCAAAACTCAGAATTCAGACCTAGATTACGACCCTGTCCTCAGTGGACACCAGTTACTCACACAAGGAAACACCTGCACACTACAGACCCAGGCTATTCAGTGTCAGTTCTTAACGTAAGTGATGACAGACAAACCAATGGTGTGTTGCTCGTTGTTCAATTTTGCTGTTCTTTTTTGTGGTCCCCAGTGCTGAATTAGGTTGGACACAAAGCTCTGTGCATGTATGTATTTACTGTATGATGGATGTATATTTACTGTCTTAGATGGATGAATTTCAAAAGGAACAGCTTTATGGTGCATTTTCTACATGCCATCCCTGCAGCTCTCAGAGAGCAGCCCCAGGATAATTTCTTTCCTGTACAAGGATCCTTTTTATTTTAAGGCTCAGGTGACATTTCTATTTTATTGTTTACTGAACTATAATGAATAGGATGACTTTTTAGGTATGAATAAAAATTACTAGAGATATAGGGCAGGAAATACACACAAGTATGAGCCTTGGATTTATTTGTTAAAAAGCTCTCCAGAAATACCTGCAGTCACTTTGCCCATCTGATCATACACTCATTTTATGCTTAGTGAAAAGAAGCACCTCACTGCATCTCTTCCCCTAGCTCTTCTGCTTCCTCATATATTTTGTTTTTCAACGATCAACATATTTAGACAGATGACAGTTTTAAATCTGACAATATTGAAATCTGTGCAAGATAATCTAGAAATACAGCACATAGGTCTATACATCTCTGCTCTTAAAGTTGTTTTTCTTTCATACATGTAACCACATCCAGAGTTCCAGACCAAACCAGCACAGCTGAGAGGTACTGGGGGGACTTTCTTTAGCCAAGTAGACTAGAGTTTAGTTCACATCAAGTATTTTTAAGTTAGCTTATCCATGTAGACTCTCTGGGACTCAATAGCATACTCCCGTGAATTGAAACTGAGCAACTGATCCACCACACAAAATACAAGGTTACTAACATCCTCATTAGTTTCTCAAGTGTGAACTTTATCATACGACATACTATGGATTTAATGCCTACTTTTAAAAAAACCAAGCACAACATGCATTTGTGAACTCTTGAGTATTCTTGAAAGATGCTGTTCCACATCACACTTCAGAATCTCATGGATGAGCAAGAGATCCTTAAAAACCAAGTCTCCACTGTGATGAAAACCAGCTCTGGCATTACAAAAGCAGCACACAAATATCCTTAAATAGCCATCAAGCACAGAGACCTTGTCACTTACAAACAGTATTATTTCCATACTTGCACCATAATCCTAGTGTTTGTACAATGTTTAGTCTTTAGGCTATGCTGTTTCAAGCAGTGGTTGTAAATAAAGTAAATACCATCACTCACGCAATAAATCTGCATTTTTTTGTACATCTACAATTGCATCATTTATAATCTAGCAGGTCTAAAACAGGGAAGACCCCAAATATATCACTTTCATAGTAAGAAAAGGCAATCTTCATAATTTTGTGCATTCTGTGGCACAGTAAGAAGTCAAGAGCACAACCCACATCCACAGCTTTGCATTTGGTATCTACCACAAGGCATGCAAAAATTAAAAGGAAACACAAACCTTTCACAGAAGCTTTGAGGCAGCCATTGATCACTCATCCTTTTTTCTCCCCTAAAGGGGTAGGGGCAAAAGAAGTAAGGCTGTTCTTTCACTGAACAAGAAGATATAATCAGTGAACACAAGGTGTAATCTACACCCCACATCCAGTGCTTGCTAAGCACATCTGGCCAGGGCCTAGTTTTTCCCACTGTAGATCAGAAGCAGGGCAAGCTTTTATTTAATACATGGGAAGACTCTTACCCTTGTGGGAACAGTGGAATCCACAACAGTCAGGTACTGGAAAATGCAGCTACTCATCTGAAATCATGGAGCATTCATGTCCCTATCCAGATCAGGCATTTGAATGAACACCTCCAGGGGCTGCTCTGTGCACTGTCCCATCAGCTGAAGCACTGCTGATGCAAGATGGTCCTTCCCATCAATGCCATTCTGCTTTGAGTAATTAAACCTACACCAGAGCAAGGACTAGAATCTTACACCAGGGTCACAGCAAATGATCAGTTGACTTCCCCCTGCTTTTGTCCCAGTAGCTGCTTCTTTGGAGAACAGCACCACCATGAGATGTAACTGAGAGCAGCTGACTGCAGAAAAGCCAGTTGTGTGCTGATCAGTGCAGGGATAGGCTTTGCCTAACCAGTGACATGAAAACTGCTCATCTATGCTCCAGCTGAGTTTGACAAATACCAGAGTACTTATTGTCTGGGGAATAGGATTTAAATTCTTCATTAGGCTAGAGAAGGATGACAGAAGCATTGCCCACTTCTGCACTGCTGGTCATTCTTCTTGGAGACTGAAGGAAATCTTCTTCTGTTATCAGTTATCCAAAACATTCCTCTAAAACATAAAGGATATTTAAGCCATATTCTCTATTGCATAAAAAGCAGTGAATAGACTTCTTATTGCACAGGAGATTGAAGATGCAAAGAGATGCTCAAAAATACATGGTTTGTAAAGAAGTCTCACGGAAACTACCAAACAGACCCTTAGTAAGCTAACAAGTCAGCATTCAGAGAAACTTGGCTTCATTAGTCACTCAGGACCTAGTAAGATAGACTATTCTGAGTTGGAATGGACCCACAAGGATCATTGTGTCCACCTCCCAACCCAGGGCAACCTGAAAGTTATATCATATATCTAAGAGTGTATGTAGGCCATTAAGATATGTGGCTTCTCCTTTAGCATCAATCCTGGGCAGCGAGGGGAGGTTCCTGGAGCAAATATAATAATTTCTGAGGCATCTATGAATGAAGGTCAAACAGTTTTTGCATAGGTTAAACACTGCATCATGCACATTCTTTTATTTGCAGCTTACTTGACAAGATAGAGATCTACAAAAAGTCACTCCTGACGATGGTTCATGCAATTGCTCACCTTGGCTCTACATTCCAATCCATGCTTATACCCCTACCTTTTGGTAAGTAATCAAATTATAGGGACCTAAGTAGTTCAAGAGAAATTAACCATGTGTTCAGCACACCAAAACTCCATTAAAGATATCTGAATTTCTTATTTCATCCAGGAGAAGAAAATTGAAACATATTTTACACTAATTATCTCTGACATGTTTCTATTTCTTCTGACAGCTCTCGCTCAGGACCTGACTTCAGGGCAGATACGCTGACGCAAAAGTCCACACTTTCATTGAACCACCTTTTTAATGAGGGTAAAAGGGATTCAGCTTCGACATATATGGTGACACACCACTAAGCAAGTTTTAAATGCAACTAGGCATGACAGCATGGTCAATAAAGAATGGCGTTAAATTTTGGTTGAAACCTTATTTCCTTTAAAATTCAGACAAACAAGGAAGCTGAATACCACACAGTCAATATTTAAAATGTAAATTCTATCATTCTTCTCAAACTGTATACAGGCTTTCTCTGAACTCACACAATGACGCTCAGTACACTCCTGAAGAGGAAATTGAGTCACAGAAAAGAGCCAATATAATGACTCCGCAGGGCAATCTTCTGTCACTATATACTGCTGTCATTCAGTAAGTCCTGATTCTCCCGTGTCTGAACTAAAAGTACAATCCCAAGTCTGAATCCCAAAATGAGAATCTAGCATGTTGTACCCATGAGTGGATTAGAGCTTATGTAAATTTTTAACCTGCTAGCTCAATGCTAGCATGCTTCCTTTTAACTTTTAAGAGCACTGCAATGAGTTTATTATGTAATAAACCAAAACAATTCCTGAAAACTTCAGTGGAGTCAGTCAGTGATGCTCTTACAAGATGATTTCTAGTACATGCAGCCAAGCTATTTTGCTTTGCTCAGGATCACTAATGATGTCTACAGCAGATCAGGAAACAGGAAACAAGAAGTTTATCTTAGTATCAATCCAAAACATCCGCAAAAAAACATTATTCCTATTCCTTGGTATTATTGTTGCCATTTTGTGTTGTTGAATTGCAAAGAATAAAATCTCACAAAGAAATCATATTAGTCTACAGTATTTATTACCTTCTATTAATCTGGAGTCAATAATTTTGATATGACTGAATTAATTCTGAAATAACCAGACATTTTTTGAAATACATATGAATGAGGGGCTTCAACATGAGAGTATTTAGTTGATCAGCACTCTTAACCCACATGCAGGATACATCAATCAAATACTGTACATTTCCTTTCATTTTACACTGGTCCATAATAAATCACTATTTCTGAGGGTGAAAGCAGGGAGGAAAGAAATTATATTTTCAAGCAGCCCTTTTATTTAGAAAGAGCATCTATGATATATTAAGCCAATCTGTTTCTCTCTGATTTTGATTTTACTTACAGTATACAGTTTTGCAAAATATACAGCTCACCAGTGATACACAAACAGTGGCCCTTTACTAAGGGCAAGTAACAAAAAAGAAATACAACAGAAGAGAATTCTACAGATTAGAAAAGTCATATCTTTGAATATTATGTCACTTCAGAGTGCCTCCAATGCTGGTAAGAAAAGTCATGCACAACATTTTTAATGTTGCCATTAGTCCATGAAAGACTTGTCTGCATGCTTCACATGAACAAAAAAAGGTTCAAGTCACAAGGAAAGCAGCTTTCTCCAGTTATCTTTTAGGCCTGTCTATGTCATCAATGGCAGCTAATAGCTTCTGTCTTGCCTTTTTGTTGATGTGGGAGCCCAGACAAACATTCACCAGATTGGTCAACTGCTTAGTGGAATATTCCTGGCAAACAAAAGTAGATCATGTTATGGCAGAACAAAACACCAGACAAAGACAGAAAACTAAAAAAGCACAGACATACTCAGTGTGGACTTTTCAACTGACAGAAGCAGTCAGTACACAAGGGAGGTTTAAAGCAGTAGTTAAGTCAGGTCTGGATAGTTTTCATAGTTGAGACAGAGAAGAAAACTGTATTTTGCTACATGGCAGACAATAATGGAAAATGCTTACGACTTGAGAAGTGTTGAACAGAGTTCACAGAAAGTAACTCTGTGAACATGTATATAAATCAATTTTACTGTATTTTCCATTCTTTGGGAGGTGTGGTGGGAAATATGTATGCAAATGGTCAAGCTTTTAACACAAAAATATTTTTCTCAACAAATTGTGACAAAAGTTATTATTATTTTGACTTATTTCCAATGAGCTTCTAAATGCTTCTGTCTACAGAGTCTCCAAACAATGTTAATTTCAGTGCATGATAAAGGAGGAAAAAATGGCAAGAATGTTAAGACAAGAATTCTTAACATTTGTGAAAACACAGTATTCATCAGCATTACCTTTACACCTAATACTATCCAAAATATAGCTTCCACCAATGAATTTAAACAAGAGTTTTTCCATGCAAGTCATGAAACAACAGCTAACAATCTCTTGTGGCTTCAGGTAAAACGAGGAAAATGATAATAAAGACATATTTCTTTCATCCATTTCTACTGGGATTTTTAAAGTAATCCCAAAATACAGATTCCAAGTGCTCCACTTTAAAAGACTTTTCACTTCAACAATAGGCATCTCCAATAGCATGTGGCTATTTCTCATGCAGACCTGTTATAATTGTTAGTTTATGCTATCATGAAAGCATGCTAAATTTTTTCAAAAAACCCAAATGAAGACTTATCTCAAAGAGCAATGTTAATCCTGATAAAGTATTATTAAATGAAGAAAGAAAATGGAATGACATCCATTATGCCTTACAACTTAGTTTAAGCAATCTACTCCTAAAGGCAACAAAAACTGTATGATGTGATTTCAAACTGTCCTTCTTGATGATCGAGTTGTGCACTTTGGCATATTCTGAACAGCACACAAAGGTTTATATTTCACTTTGCTCTAGTTCTCTACATTTTTTGATACAGTAGGTAGATGTGACTGACTTAGTCATCCTTCCCAGTCATCAGATGTTGAACCAGAACAAATATATACTAATTTCATGTGATAGCAAATGAACACATAAAGCATACACAGGTTAATCTTTATACTGCTTCCTATACAGCTTTTAATAGAACAAATGAATCTATACATATATATGCATATATTAATTTTTAACACATAGGAGCATTGCTTATTTATAGTTGTTAGCATCATGGTGAATTTTCTCAATAGACAGTAAAAGAATGCAAATTTAACTCTTACCCTATGTTCCTTTATCCAGCGTTCCATGTCATTTTCTGTTAGGTAGTATGCTTTAATGTAGGTCTCCACAAATTCTTTATCTGGAATAGGCCTGATGTCTGTTAACTTTTCTAGTTTCATTAAGAATTGTTGAAAGTCCAGTTGCATCAAGGCACGTCCTTCATTGCTGCACTTCTTTACATTGGCATAACTAAAAAGAGAAACAGTAGAAAGTAAAACTTAGAAGGAAATAAAAATGAATTTTGCTTCTCAAAGTTCTTAAACTTAGTCCTTCAAACCTTGAGGAGGAACATAATTATGGTTCTAAGTTAAAAGCAGATGGGAACTCCTCTTAGGATGTCTGCTGCAGTTTTATTTGAATTAGCATAATATGTTTTACCCCCCGGCATAGAACAGAACCTCCCTGTACCCAGTCATAGCTTAAAAAACTCACACCTCCCACTAAAAGCCACTAAGAACCCTACATAGAACAATTTATTAGAAGTGGGTTACAGGAAATGAAAACAATGATGATCAGCACACTAGACAGTGGCTTCAAGTGATCATGACTACTGAAGTCTGAAGGTACTGTGACACCTTTAGGAATGGTCAACAGGAGCTTGCTAAACCAAGTGGGAGCATCAAGGAAAAGCACAAAGCTGTTCAAAACCAGCCACAACATCCACAGGATAAAGGGTGGCAGCACTGCCTAACCTTTCTGAGAAGTTACTGTTTCGTAACAAGAGCAGATTGACAGAAAACCAGTAACAGGTTTGAGCTCCAAGAAGAGGAGAGAGTAGATGAGCTTAAGGGCAGGGTAATACCAGCAAGGATTACAGTAGATTGATAGGCAACAAATGAGGAAAACAATCTTTGCCGTTTTTCAAATGGATAAGGAATTGCATTTGTCAAGATGAAAGGAAAGACACTGCAATGCCCTTAACAATACCAATTTCAGCTGTGCACAGGGAATCAAAAAGCTTTGGTCTGGGGCACAGTGTCTTGAGAGACTTAATCCAGCTCACCCACTGGCTGCTGCCACAAGTGACATTCCTATCCCACTGTTTCCACTCTTCTCCTGTACCAAATTTAAAACAAGCTCAGTTTTCTATTGGTTTGTGAAGCTTATCCTAATTATTATACAGTCCCTAGATTATTAGGTCTGATGCAAAGGAGGCAGCAGAAAAATGCAGGTGGAAAATGGATACACAGCAAGATAAGGTTCAGAATCAGAAGAAATTTCACACTTACAGTTGATATGCAGAAAGAATCTGCAGAATGCAGAAATCACAGAGGCTAAAAGAGAAGGGACCAAGGAAAAAGTCTTCTGGAGCTTCATAG